TTTATACTCCCCACACGCCCATCAAAGCCAAGGCCAAACCTTCCTAAGCCTGCTTCAATGTAATAACTCTCGGGAAAAAAACGACGACGACGATTATTGCTACAGCAATGAAGTTAGCTCCAAAGTTGACGATGAATTCGAGTTCCTGTGGGACATGGACATGGAACAAAACAGCTTGGACGATATGGGATTTGATATTGATAACAATGGTGTGGTTTTCCTATGAAAAAGTTGCATATTCTTGAAGGGGAAACTAGAAGCCTGCCATTTGTTGATTTCTGATGTGTGATGTTTGTCTTTAATGATACAAATAGAAGATTGTGTAATTTGGTGTCGGGCTTATTTGTTTATTTTCGTATTTAATTTTGGGCAGTGTAAAAAGTATATGTATATAAAGCATATAGTTATTCTTCAATGCTCCATTTTTCTCAATTTTGACAGATTCAGTGTAACGTCTAAAAACCCTGTGTGATAGAAATATTGTGACGATTTATTTATCGAAATTCATAACAAGTACTTAAATCTCATCTAACTTCCATTGTTGCTGTCCTGATCTCATTTTTTACCATCCAACAAGGAAAAATACTTGTCAAAAGCTCATTACGGATCGGACAAGAGATTCATGAGTAAAGGGTGTTGATGGTAAGAACAAAAACTCGAATCAGGTTGGGAAAGTAACGTTGATCGACCGAAATGCAAGATGTTCACATGATTTGGGTTTGGGTTCATGGCTTTAGGCATAACATCAGGACCAGAGCCTGCCTCAGGTTATTTTCTTTATTACAACAATAAAGGCAGATGGAGTAGGGAGCAGGATGCACGTTTCAGGTGACGATACACAGCAAAATAAACATTGGCACATTCCAAGTCCAAATTCCTAAAGGTTTTATGAGAAAACACCAACTTCAAGGTTTAATGTGCTAAGCAAGAAAATCTTATGCCATTCCAATCAAAACTAATGCTAGGTTCAATTCCATATAAATAATAGGAGAAAACCTAGAACTCCTCAATAGAGTTTCTCACAAAAACATAAGCAATATAATCACAATTAGGGGTGTAAACGAACCGAGCTCTACTCGATTCGAAAATTCTGAAATGGAGCTCGACTGACTCGTAAACTCGCGAGCTTAAAATTTTCAAGCTCGACTCGAACTCGAAATCTTGAATTGAAGCTCGTGAGTAGCTCGAAAATACTCGAAATGAAAAAAAATTTCTTAAACTTAACTCGATTGAAGCCTCGAACTCGAACTCGAACATGAACCTTAAATACATGAAATCTTACTATATTTAAAAAAAATCAATACATAAATATTAATATTATTAAAAATTTATTTAAAAAAAATAAAATCTTAATATATTATATTTTTGAGCTGTTCACGAGCTTTTCGAGTCGAACATCGAGTAGCTCATTTCAGCTCGTTAAGAACTCGAGTTGAGTCCATTCGATCCGAGTATTATCGAGCCTTGATCGAGTCGATCTCGAATAGCTCGCGATCTGTCTCGTCTCATTTACAGCCCTAATCACAATTCAACTTTAGTAGTGAAAAGACAAGAAAATCATATAATCACGTGTTCAGTTACGAAGAGATCCCAGATACAGGAGAAGACAATGCAGTGACTAACAATGTAGCAGGGCAATATGAAAAAACTAAGCTGCATACCTTTTCCTTTGCTTTTGGTGTGTCGGGCTGAGACCATGCGACAAGGGTGACACAGCCCCTTTTGCAAAACCAGGTTACAGAACTTGGTAATAACATCATACGCTTTAGAAAAGCTGGCACCTTCTTCATTCATCTAACGAAATGTGCTACATTTGATTGCACGCAAAACACAAGGAACCTGTGGGGAAAATAGAATTTACGAACAGCTAAATTTAATGACACCCGACTAATAAAGCATGTCGAGTACAGAAAAGAGAAAAATTGATTCCTCGAATGAATCTAAAGAAGAATCCATGGCTTCCTGCCCCTTGGAAGGATTATTCGGCAGGTTTGTTATACATTTACTAATAAACAGAAAATAAGTGCCATTAAAACCAAAATGGGAATCTCACAAGTCACAACTATCAAAATGCGAGTGATCTGTAGTTTTCGACTTCATCATTAATCAGACAGAGCTACTAAGTAGAGACACCAAATCACCCTTTTTCATTTTGGAAAACCCCTTTAACCCACGTGATTTTGCAAGCGCTCTGAGTTCTGGCAGCTTCAATGCACTAAAATCCTCATGTTCAATCTGCTGTTCTCCGCCCTCTTCGTCAATATCTGAAGATTCATCCTCTGACAACTCAGCCAATGCATCAGATTCTTGATAGATTGACTCAGGCTCAAGCTCAAGCTCATCCTCTGGCTCGGATTCAAACTCCAGTTCCTCCTCTTCCTCAGGCACATGATTAGCTGCAGGATGTGACTCCATGCTCAAATTTCTATTCCTATCTGAATTGACATGTGTCACAGAATTGACGGTCTCCTCACCAGAATAAATTGTCTGATATTTCATTTGTGGAACAGGTGACTTTCGTCGGAAATTTGATGCTGGCCTGCTTAAACTAGGCACATAGGATTCTTTTGTCTCACTCCTCGCTCTATCATTTGAACCAAAGAAACTGGAGCTTTTATCTCCATTAGAAGAGCCATTCACTTCTGGATCATCTAAATGCAAGTGTCTGCTGTTGCCATCGCTGTTTTTCTTCTTACCTTGTTCAACCGAGTGCTTCCTCAATAGCTTAAGGAGAGAATCGACTGTTTCACTCTCTTTTCCCTTCCCCTGTGAGGCTTCAGTTTTCTTATCTTCTTTAACTGCAGCTCTTTCTTTAAGTTTAGCTTGGACCTTCCTAAAAGGCTCCACAATCTCCTTCTCTCTTGGACCTGGGGCTGCAGCAGCTTGAAATTTCGTGGAACCAGAGAGGGAGAGTAATGGCCCGTTTTTTGAAGATATCATTTCAGATTCATCTATATTTTCAAGATTCTCTCTCTCCTCATTCTGCCTGTTCTTCCCTCGAAACCCATGTCTTTGCCTCGATAAGTCAGGGTTTCTCCTGTGACCACTAGAACCTGCTCTGCATACAACATATATTCCTCTCGAACTACATTTCAAGGATCTAATCTTCACCTGTGTGCAAATTATGTGGTGACTATGTGAAGAGCAAGGAGAAAGTGTCATTGCTCTTCCAGAAATGCCCGAGTCGGAGCGATATCTGCAGTCTGTTGGTCCATAACCTACAATAGAACAGAATCAAATGACACAGAGTTAAGAAAATAACCATTTCCGATACAATATTATCTGTGGGCCTAATTCTTTACCCATAAAGCACTTGTCAAAAATTCGAATAACTAAAAACAACAAATAAATAACACACCAGCAATCTAGCCAGTAAACTACCTTGGGCAAATCCCACATTACAATCAACATCAATCTTCACAAAGTTGCAATCATCATAAACAGGAACAAATTAAAATGAGTTTTCAAACCAGCCAAAGCATGCCTACTTAAAATAATCTTCTCCGAGACTTCCTCGAGGGTGTAATCAACCTTTTGCTGAGGAATATTACAAATTTCTACTTAGATAATATAAAAGTAAAAGTTCAACATTAGCTAAACTAATCTTCCAGATACATAGCAACCTAAGAATGAAAACAACACTCAACCCCAAAGTCTATTTATGTTACCCGAGCTAACACCCGAGCGACGAAAACAACCCCAACAAGACAGGACTATTTCCTCCTCTAGCTCATCACAAACGAAAAATACTTATTGTAGATGCACAACAACTGCGTAACTCAGTGAACTTCCTTTTTTTTTTAAATGCAACAACAAAAAATAGAAAACGATTAAGCTACCTTCCAGACCACAAGAATGCAGATATAAACAAAATATCAGCATGAATTAACAATAGATCATTTCACAGATTCAAGCAATGAACAACAAAATAATCTAAGGATAAGATTAATACCAGAAAATTTTTAACAAAAAAAGAGACCAAATAGAATAAGGTAAAACTAAAAACACTCATTAATGAAAAATGGGATGCGAGTAAAAAAGACAACTCATTTCAGCCCTTAGCCTCGAATATGGCAAACATTTTATTTTCATTCTTTTTTTCTTGGGAACCAAACAAAAAAAAGTAAATAAACTGAAGGGAAACCACACTCCCCAAAATAAGAAAGGAAGAGAAACACATACCAGGAACGTTATTGGGAAGGAGATGAAGTGCATGCGACATGAGTTAAGGTGGAGCTTCAAAACAAAGCGTTGTTGTGGCGGTTTTGCATTCTCTTTCGCAGGATTTCCGTGTTGTTTGTTTGATAAGGGAGTCCATTGGTAATTTGTCAATTTGCTTATGGGCAATTCTGGGTTACCGAAATAAGAGGACTGCCGGCCATATCAAATCCGGAGCGGCCCATTTTGTTTAGGGTTTGGTCCCTAATTTAGACCATAAGACATTAGTGGATTTTCTAATAAACCAACGGGGTTTGAATAGTTTCACTTAAATTTCAGGGTAAATTATGAATTTAGTACTTAAATTATCAGTTTTAGTCTATTTTAGAATCTAAACTTTCAAAATTTTCAAAACTATACCTAAAATTAATTTTTATTTCATTTTAGTACCATGTTCAAAATTTAACATTAAGTTTTGAAAAAAAATTGAAAGTTTAGGTACTAAAACAGACTAAAATTGATAGTATAAATACTTATCGCGTTAAATTTTAAACGGTGAGATACTAAAATGAAATAAAAACTAAAAATTAGGTATTGTTTTAAAAAATTAAAAGTTTAAAAACTAAAATAGACCAAAATTGATATTTTATATACTAAATGTGTAGTTTACTCTTTTTTATTTGAAGAGGAGGGGTTTTTAATTTGTATTTAAACCGACTATCAAATAAATTATAGCCGTCGTGTTTATTTTTTAATGTATTTTCTTCTGGACATTATTGAAGTTAAAAAAATGTTTGAAGTTCAAATTAAAGCAATCATTGTAGAGAAATGTAGCCGATTCAACAACAGTTTCTGAAGGCTTGTCTTAAAAGCAAGTGCAGAGAGAGAACAGACAAGAAACAAGGAAAACTCAGATCCCACAAACCGGTTTCTCTCTCAACATGGAGCTCTTACCTTCCAACAAGGTATCAACGTCTCTTCTACTGAGTCCACTCGTTATCCCTCTCCTCTTCGCTTGCTTTGCAGCCATGTCATTTGCCACCGCGTCCACAGCAACTCTGAAACGACACCCCGGGTTCCTCTATTCTAGAACCAGAGGAAGATGCACTCCCCAGTGAGCAAAATAAAAAATATATATATTCTTTTTTATTTCAGTTTTTAATAATTACCCAGGAAAAAAAAGCTACCATTTTTCATATTGGGACTTGGTGAGTTATTTTGTAACTGCAGATTCTGGAGCAGCAGGAGAGAGGCGTGGCCAAGGATGGTTCCAGAAACATCGACGGTTACGAAGGTGTTCGGGTCGAGAGCGGCGGAACGGTATGGAACGGAGTTGACTTTGTTGGAAGCAGTAGATATGAAAGAAGAAGAAGAACGGAACGCGTTCAACGAGCTGGTGAGGGAGGCGAGTGTGGCGTTGCTCAACTCGTACGGTAGGAAAGGGTTCCCATACTCGGCTTGGGAAGTGAAGACTCTGTTGATTCAAGGCTTAGTGTCGGAAGATGCCGCTGCTCACTTAACCCACCGCTTTTCCACTGCAAATGATGCTTGTCTTTAGTACCTGTATATTTGGGCCTATTCCATCAGGCAAATGGGGAAATCTGGTTTTGCTTTCGATTTGAACTCTCGAGTGTCAAACAACGTGAAGTAGAATATTTTTATTGATATTCAATGATTTCCCCAATTTGCTGAAAAAGTAGACGTGCACGAATTTATTGATATTTTTATAAGGATTAATTATAATGTTTTTCACGAATATGTGTTTAATTTTTTTTTTAATGATTTTGGTGTCTAACATTATAAATATTGTCACTTTAGGTGTTTGGCTCGTCAACGACGTTTTTATTAAGTTATATGTGTCACGTCTTGGTAAATGTAAAATTAAAAAAATTAAAATTACATTTAAAAATACATAAAAAATTAAAATAATCCTAAAACTTTGAAAACCTTTATCTCAATTTCTAAACCCACGTTATTCGTCACCCTTTTACCGTCGACGAAGCTCAACCCGTTGTCACCTCTCTTGAATAACAAAACCCCTATGAAGTCGTAATTGATCGACGTTGAATCAATATTGTTTTATATCCCACGAACCCTAGAATGAAAATCGTAATCTCACATGATTTTGACGACCAATCAGCGACAACTATGACGGCGTATGACTAGGAGGATGTCAGAGACTACGGCGACGGTGATGGTCGTGGCCGAAAAAGTTGATGACAATGGGTTAGGATTAGGATTAGGAGATTATAGGAATTTTGGGTTTTTTCTTAAGAAAAAATAGGGTTTTCTTATAAATATAACACCATTTGAATTTTAAAAAAATAAATTTCAAAATTATCATATTATAATACATGTCACTTATTTGAGAAATAACATTGTTGACGGCTTATGCACCTAAAATGATAGCGTTTATAATGTTAGTGTTAGGATTTGTAATGCTCTATCGATCAACAAAAAAATGCCAAGAGGGAGTGAATTGATCTTTTAAAATTTTTGGGAATTAAGGAGAGAGGATATGAAAATTGGCTCAGTGATTTATAGTGATTTAACTTCCTCGATAAAGTCTATGTCTTCTACCTTAGCTTCTCTCTAAGGATTTATAATAATAAATTTACTAATTTATTAAGATATAACCAAAACCCCATTTCAATAAAGATAAAGAGATTGTAAACAAGAAACCACTCAAAGGAAGTTGTTTACACAATTTAGCTCACTAAAAATACACTATTTACAAGAGAAAATGAAGAACAAAGAATGAAAGCTTTTCTCTTCATGATCAATGTTTATATAGGTGTTGTGTAACCTTCTACAAGTGTCTTGAACTTCATTTTATATGTTGGAATGTGTTTGTGACCGTTGAAGATGTTTTGGAGCCGTTGGGGACTTAATTGCTGCAAAATAAAACTGCCCAAACCAGGGAGTATCGGTACTTGGGCTTGGAGTATTGATATTGCACTAATAAAAACTAGACGTTTTTCAACCGTTGGACTGGAGTATCGGTACTAAGGTCATGATATCGATACTAATATACAAAGTAGTATCGATACTCCATTGAGTATCGGTACAAAAAATGCCTATTGAATCTGAACACATTTAAAACAAATATGCAATATCGTTACTACCATAAGAGTATCGATACTTCCCTTACCTTCGGTATCAATACTTCCCTTTTTTTGGTCCTTATGTGATTTAGGTGATTAGTTTTTGTCTAAATGATAATAGAAAAATACCATAATTATATTTTAGGTTTACGATTATGTTTGTAAATCTTCATTGTAATTTTGTATATTTTTATATTTTTAATAAAACTAGTGACTTTCTATAAAAAAAACATACGATAGTAATATATTTATTTATAGTGTTAAAAATATTTATTTTAAAAAGTACATAATTATAATATTATTTAAGTGGTAGTTAATTTAAAATTTAAAAAATAATTTTGTACGATACAAATTCTATTTCAATATTTTATAATTTTATTTTATTTTATTTAATTAAATTTATAGTTAATATTAATTCTATTATTCTATTATTATAATTAGTAATATATAAAAGTATTAAATTTAATGAATTTATCTAATTAAAAATTAATATTATTGTATAATAATTGATAATAGTATTTATTTAATAGGGCCCTTTCAAGTTATTCCACACCAAACTGAAAACCCTAGTTTTTAACTCCCAAAAAATGAAAAAGAAATACTAAACGTTTTCTGAAGAAAAGTTGGTTGATGATGGCTAGTAGGAAGCTGGTTCGAGATTTTTTCATTGCAAGACATCCCCTTACTCAATGCCTTTCGTCCCAACAGGTACGAAGCTGCTACCTTGTTTCTCGAATATTGTAGAGTTCTGTTTTTCTTTCTTTTCCATACATTTTTTTAAAGCAGAAGAGCTAAAAGTTAGGTAATGTCTCTTGTATTACAGTGATCGTTTTTATGTTCTGTTGTAATATTAGCATTGTTAGGGTTAATAGGCTGAGACATACCCTTGTATGTCAAGGGATTGCCTGAGATGGTGAAATAGCGAATGCAGAACGAAGCAGACAACCGAGCAGCTTTACAAACAGGTTGATGGTGCGTGGACAGAGGCCGAAGCTGCTGCTAAAAAGGTTAGGGTTCAATTTTATCTTCTCTTGTTGTTCTTTAAGTGATTCACATGCATTGTGTATTTGCCACAAACTAATTATGCTCACACTATGTTCTTTTCCAAGTTGCTTTTCCTTGTAATGCATATTTATGTGAATTACTTAATAGCCATTAAGTTATATGTATCTTTCTTTGCGTGATTTGTATCCGATTCATTTTGTGGAACAAATATGTAATCGAGCTTAATTAACTAGTTATACTTTAGAACTTAACCATAGCTATGTTAGCCTGTTTCGTATAAAAGCTAAGGATGATTGCTGATAAAGCAACCTCCCTGGGATTTTATATTGGTGATCTAGATTCTATTTTGTTCATTGGGTGGACTTCTTGTTGCTACTTGAAATTAGTGTCTTGTTGTATTTAAAATTTTGGGTATGTGAGTACGAAGCTTTCGATGGTGCTGCTCTCTATGTTAATGATACCTAATTCATATTTGATTGGTATTATGTCGTTAGTAGGTGTCTGCCAACATGAAAGAGAAGATTTCAACTGACAAAGAGGAGGTATTTTTTTAATTCAGATAGTTGACCTACAAATTATGTCTATGACCGCTTTTATTTTATTAAGTTAGTTGGTTATGTTGTTTTAGGTTAAGGAAAGTTTTGGAATTGGAAAGGAAGAGTCTTCACAGTCAACTGATACATCAGCTCAGCATCGTACTGATACATCAGCTCAGCATCGTGCTGATACGAAGGATGAAAAAGGTAAGACGTCATCCAAGGAAGGGAATTACCAGCATTCTGGAGCTGGTGATACTGCAGAAACGGTAATTGGAAAATTTAAGTCTCGCTTTTCTTCTCTGAAGGTTTCTTTGGCTTTCCAAAGTTTAAAGGAAGCTAAGGTTGTTGATTTAGCAAAGAAGGGTTATGACATTGTTAAGGATGAGTTAAGTGGTAACCCAAGTAAGAGACAGCATCTGGAGTATACAGCTCCTCCCTCATCAACAGGTGAAAGAAATTAAAGAACTGATATTGTTGTTTTTCCATCTAAGCAGTCCCGTTGGAGTAAAAAGTGGGAGGCATTAAAAGAGAAGGTAAGTTTATTGTCAGTGTTGAGTTTTAGTCAAATATCACTATAAAGTTTCACCTATTGCTTGTGTTTCCCTTGTTGAATGGATTTTGTTCTCTTCTGCATAGATGCATGGTAATCCATTATTCAAGCGTGTTAGTGGGATGAACGAACCTGTTGTGACGAAGGGCCAAGAGACAAGTTTCCAGCCTATTCTTTTTTCTTCTCCATTTTCATGGTTCTTTTACTTGCTTATTATGGCTATTGCCTATACTGGAGTGTCTAAATTTCTGAAATACACATACTTTAGATTGAACTGGTTCAAATTATTACATGGTTGAATTGGCAGATTGCAGAGGATAAGCGTGAAATATGGGAGACCAGTGATAACCCCATTGTTCACAAAATTCAGGAGTATGTAACATTTTCTTGTGTTTTTATCTTTTTTACCTGCTACACGTAAGATTTAGAAGTTATTTACGTGACAATTTGGACGCTGATTTCATAATTCTTTACTTGACAGTATAAACGAGAGTATCTTTCAAGAAACAGATGCTGCGGCATCATACAAAGAAATACGTCGACGAGAGGGTCACCTCTCCTTTATTTTTGCTTCAGTATTTGTGTGTTCCATTTCTTGACCTGTGAAATTCTTTGGTTCATGGAGTAGGGCATTCTCTTTGCCAGAGTTTGTGGCAGAAGTTCAAGAAGCCATTATACCAGTCCACAATGCATATATAAAAGTAGGGGGTTTCTCTGGCTTATATTCTAGTTTTCTATATTTTCAAATAAAAATAGCGTCCCAGGTAGTGGCCATTTCTAATATAATTCTACACGCAGGGAGATGTTGAAACTTTGAAGAAGTATTGTTGTCCTGAATTATTGATAGATGCAAAGCAGAACATACTGCTTATCAGAGCCATGGTATATTTTTCGATAACAAGGTAAGTCTGACAGTTTTATGAAATGCTCTATGCCCTGTTATATGGCGCTTAGTAAGATGGTCATATTTAAGAACGGTTGTATCAACTTTTCTGCTCTTTATTGTAAACAAAATCAGAAAGAAAACATGAACCTTGTATAACAAAATGTGGTTACAAATTATCGTGGCCTTAATATAAGTCGGCTTGCAGATTGTGGTTGAGATTATATTCTTAATATGAAGTGCTGTTACTAATTTCTTCTATTTCTGCTGCAGATTCTACATATATCTGACGTAGAAGTTAGAGAGACCAAAATAATGGGGACTTATCCCATTATCATAGTAGCAGTACGAGTCTCTTATTTGTCTGCTTCAATTTCTTTTTTACTTGATTTAAGCCTTTTAATGGTTTTGAAACTGATGCCGGGGCCTGTCCTTTCGATGTTCACAGTTTCAAACACAACGGATTCACTGCGTACGAGATAGCGAGGGTAAAATAATGGAAGGCGGGGAAGGTAAATGAAAAGTTATTCTGCTGTTTTTCATAAAAATTAACAATTTGTGTCTCAATATGTTGCTCCGTGTATCATGCATGGGCCATGCAACAAGTGGGTGTAGAAGAACTTGGAGAGGGTGCCCTTTACCCGATATGGAAGCTTAGAGAAATGCAACAAATTGGTATACAAGCCCTCATCTAGCTCCTTCTAATCTCAATATCCCTCTCATACTAATGGATATTTTTTTTCTATCGAGTCTGGGGTTTTTTAATTTCTTTTCCATGGAGAATTTTAGCTGATCAAATAATAATTGTTTTCAGCAAATAAACGAAATTTTACCAAACAGGTTTTCCTGAAATTCTTGATTATGAGGGATGTTAATTACAATCGATGAACTTTACCTGATGCATGTTTGAATTTTACCAGCAAATTTGGTGAACATGTATATATGATTGAACATAAGTACGTGATTACAATGCCATAAAAAACGTAAAAACGACATTAAAGTGTGATGAATGTCATCTGTAATATACTACTAAATAAAAGGGAAACTTGTTGCCCAAATCTAGCTGGGAAACAGGCTTTCTACTGTACAAGCTGCCATTCAACATTGTAACTTTACGTACACCTGATTCAGTTTGAGCACCAAGGATTGTTTTTCATCGGATCGAAGTTGGTTTCAAAATGTGACATCGGGATCATCATCATATTCAAAATCTGGTTCACTAGAGTGTCGCAGTCTTTTCGCATCTCTAGCTCTGCCCTTTTTTGGCTTTCCTCTGTGAAGAACACAGACATAACTTTAGATTGCTGGGGGGTTTAGAATGTCCATCTCAAAAGCATTTGCAAGTGCATCTGAACCTTAGTTATTGTTTTCAAGCAATTTCAGACCAAGGTGAATTTTAATAAATTAATGCACTTACTGCCCATTGGCAAAGTAACCTCCACCCTTTGACCGACCAGCACCGTAATAATATTTCCCATCTGCTAAACACAAAGAAACAACAAACGATGAAACATCCAGAAAGGAAATTTGTTGATGCACCTGCATACAATAGGCTCACCATCTCTACCGGCAGCAACCTCTTCAGCCTGAAAACGCAAGCAATAGCAGAGGAAAATCAGTTTCAGAAACTTGCTAATGAGTGGTTCTGCGAGGGGGAAAAATTGTTTTTGACACCAGTTTTTTTTCCATCCAATTACCTCCAAGGAAAACTAGCTGCAGTAAACACCAAAACATATGAGAATTTGATCTTTCATGAAATTTATTAAGAGTTATTCCCCACATTTAGAGAGGCATGGTAATTACAGTATCCATATTGCTAAGTGATAACATGTTTGGATTTTGGAAGTGCACCATGAATTGTATTCTGATGACAGCCTTAAATTCTCCATTTATAGATCCATTTTAAAAACATTTAGCATCAAACTCTGAAGAACGAGCGGCAATACATTCAACTTTGATCAATTTGATTGAAGAGTTGGAGAAAAGCATTTGCTTATGAGGTCATACAATTATGGAGCTCTATTTGCAGCAATACCAGCAAGATTCTAGCATAAACTTGCATTCAGTTAATGAGCTTATCAGCAGATACCATAACGTTTTTCATGCAGTCTGTCTCTGTGTATGCAATTGGATGCAAAATGATACAAGTCCCTTCTGAAATGCAGATAAAAAAAAAAGAGAACCAACAGCCAACACCGAAGCACAGACAAATTAAGAAAACAGTGCTAGACAAGAAGCAAAAGCCATCTCATCCGTATTCTAAATTTTTATCTGATTACCGATCACATGTTTTAAAAGTTCAAATGCAACTCCACAACAGAATGATGGTTCAAATGTTGCCTATAGCATTAAACATTTTAGAACCAAGTGTTTGCTCCGTGCCAGCATTTGCTAAAACCAATTTCGAATTTCACATCATTTAACACTACTAGTACTAGATATGCAAGCAAACAAGAAAAGAAGAGGGAAACTTTTATTTATTTAATACACACCGCAGGTGAAGTGACAGAAGACAACGAGAATAGCCTATCTTCAGGCTGGAACTTCCTGGACCGCTTCAATCTGCGAGACAAGTTGAATAGGTGGCTCATATTCAATATACAATTCAAAGGATAAATTTTCACTGAACTGAATTGCTCTTAAGGAATTTCAGAGTACAAACAGACTGGAACCTTAAAAACTTAAAAAGTTTTAGCTAAATTGCAGTGTCCTTAAGCATACATCTAAAAAATTTGCACTTACACATCATGTTTGTTTCCCGAATAAATCCCAAATCTATATAATTGAACAAACCAGACTATTATGGAATTATATGAGAACTCAACAGTTCAATAAACATAATTAAGTACCAAACACAATACACGTTTGAGTACAATTAGTACGATACATTTAACATGCGAATTGTATTTTTAAGTTATGTTTATGCATACCATAAGGTTGGCATGAAGGCAAATCACAAAAAATTGAAAAGGATTACACCAATTATCAGCTCTACTAACGATAAATTACTTTCACATACGCAGAACAGAGAATAAAGAGAGAGAGAGAGAGAGAGAGAGAGAGAGAGAGAGAAATAGGCAATCCATACACCGCAGTATTCTTGGATGAAGAGAGGAATCCCTCAAAACCTTTCAAAACGTGGCCGCATTGGCTCGGATCCTGTAAATAACTCGTTTCCATATCATACACCTGCGTTTGGAGAAATAGGAACATAAGTCATAAATATTATTCGACTGAAATCGGGAGGAGGAAAACGAAGGAATTACTTGTCTTTCAATGTTTCGAAGCTCTTCTTGGAGCTTGGCTGTTCTATTAAGTAGAGAAGCCAACATCGTCGACGGTGCCGTTGCCGTTGCGGATCCTCTTTGACCTAAAAAATTACGGTTTCACTTATTTTCTAATCTAGTAACAATAAAAATTAAAAAATGGAATAAAAATAAAATGATGATCGTAACGGCTACCATCGTAATCCATATTTTCGCGCGAAATCCGTTGAGCTTGTTTAGAACCCTAAACCTAAGATTGAGCTTCCCCCAATCTTTGATTGCGAAACCTTATGGGACTCGGATCGGATCCTTTCGTTTTCTTAATAAAATAAAATTAAGGATTGAAATAAAAAGTCCCGATTTCAAGAGTATTGCGCCATTTAAAAGTGGGCGAAATTTCTGAAATTGTCAGTACGGTCAAGATTTTCCAGCCAACAGAATTGCGCCATTTATACGAGGGTATGATTGGGAATATACTTGGACATTAGATCGGGTGGGTACGCTGCGACCCGAAGAAATTGATTGAGAGTGATGGACAACCCAGATTTGACCTTTTGGATATTTAAAAATTTCATATCTCATATATATATATATATATATATATATATATATATTTTAATTCATAAACCATTAATCAAATTCCATATATTAATACTTTGTTTATATCTTATATTCTTATTTTTATATTATAAGATATTATTTATTTGAAACTCAAATATCTTCTAAAGATGAGGGTAATATTTAATTCATAAATGGTATTTACCATCTTACTCATTCAACGACCGGGTCTTCACTTGAGTTTCCTTAACCCCCCAAAGCTCTGACGTCGCCACCGTTATCACCACCGCCTTTTGCCAACCTCACAATTGGTACACATTCCACCTTATGCTTCAAGTTCCAATCGCGCAAGAGGCAAATACAAGAGCAATAACACGCGTCCGACAATCTCTGCTCCTAATGAACTCACGAACCCTCGTCTTGGACCTCCCGCACCCTTTATGAGCGCAAAGCCTTAGACCCTCCTCACCCATATCCTAGACTTGAACCATTCTCTTAAAAACACGTTCAACGGGTGCCCCTCCGCCCCCCGTTTGACCGAAGCGTCTAAAGACGGCGCAAGATCTTGTGCTAGCACTCGGATGAGTAGACGACTGCTTGCCATTATGTGTCGGCGTAGGCCGTTACCATCATTCAGGCGATGGGCGAGCTCAATGACTGCGTCCCTGTGGCCAAGCGAAGCGGCTTGCACGCATAAATCAACCAAATTTCATCAAACCCCTCCAAAACCTGCTTTGCTTTGCAAACAAAAACCACCCACTCCAAATTTCATCAAACCAGTCCTTTTCTAAAAGCTGTTGGGACTCAAGCAATTCAATGAATCATCCTTCCAGTCCTTTTCTACTATCAACAAACAATCATTTACCACCTTAATCCAAATAAAGGCTCGCATTTTGGTATAAACTAGCATGTCCTCTAGAGATAAAATTTTAGACTTGAAGACCCTATCGTTTCTAACGAGCCAAAGGCTCCAAAGAGCTGCAGTTGTCCAAATTAACCAAACCGGTCTTGTGATGCCATGCCACTCACAGTCAAAACAAAAGTCGAGCAACTCATCTACCTTTGAACTGTGATTCCATTGGATTGCCCACCACCTGCAGAATTCAACCCAAAAGCAACACATAAATTTACAGTTTACAAAAAGGTGATCAGATTTTTCCAGCTCGGAAGAACACAAAGGGCATTCCTTACCCGAGATATCCAACCGAATACCCCTCCTAGATAGAAAATCCTTAGTGGGTACCCTATCTAATTTTAACATCTAGAGAAGAGATCTGACCTTTGGTGGAACTTTTAATTTCCATATCTTTTCAAAATTAAAAATAGGCATCCCGATGGTATCATTCAATAGTAAGTTGGACAGTTTTTTAACCGAGAAACTACCTGCAGTGTCGTGAATCCATAGAATTCTAGTAGAGGATTACATTTTGAGGCTTTCTAGCGCTGAAGATTCCCTGTAGACGAGAGGTCTTGAGAAGTGGGATTCCCAAACTACATCCAAAAAATTCGAGTCCCCTAACACCAAAGCAACACAAATACCCTTTCTTGACCAGATTCTAAACAGACGAGGAGAGGCTTGGCATAAAGGTTTTTCAAGGCACCACCTATCTTCCCAAAACAAAATCGATTTACCATCACCAAGTTTCCAGCAAAACTTCGAGTTGTACATCCATTTCTTTACATCTTCCTCATAAAGATTCTTGATGATACCCCTCCAAACCGACGAAATATTTCTGTTGTCACTTTGATCGGGGATCCTTTTGAGGCCAGATAAGCCATATTCACCACTCCCACTCCTAGTTTCTTAGGGTTGCAAATACTTCCTCAGTTAACCCCATATAATTTTTTTTTTAATATAGACATGTAATACAGAGGTAGTGCAGAGGGGACAAAGTTGACAAGGATTACTCTTCCTACAAATGATCAAGTTTTACTCTTCCAACCTGCAAGTTTTTTGGAGAAGTTCTCTAACATTGGATCCCAAGTGTTAACTTTTCTCGGATCAGCTCCCAACGGCAACCCCAAGTATTTGAAGGGCAGAGACATTTTCTGACATCTGCATATCTGAGCTACCTGGTTTAGATATAAGTTATCTACATTTACTCTAACCATGCCAGACTTCTTAAAGTTTATACTCAAACCCGAACTCATTTCAAAACTCCTAGTAATCGCTTTGCATTTGCTATTACTCGAGTGTCCGACCTAAGAGAAAGAAGCGTGTTGTTCGTAAATTGTAGATGGGAGATTGTTAATTCATGATGAATTACTACTCCCGTCACTAAGATGAATAGGAATGGGGAGAGGGGGTCTCCTTGCCTCAACCCTCTCTTCATGTTGAATTCATGTGTTAGAGACCCGTTTAACAAGATAGAAATCCTTACTGAGGAAACACATTCCTCCACTCAATCTATCCATTTTTGCTGAACCCCATTTCCATCAAGACCATCATCAAGAAGTCCCATCTAACACAGTCATAAGCTTTTGCAAAGTCTAATTTTAGGATAATTTCGTCTCTCGATTCTGGTTCTTTTTGCAGAAAATGTAAGATTTCATTTGCAACCATCACCTCATCGAAAATTTGTCTCCCCTGCAGGAACACACATTGCGCTTCGCTCACCAACTTGTGCATTACCACCTTTAATCTCATGGATATTACCTTATCAATGATCTCGTATATTGAATTCACTAAGCTGATTGGTCTGAATTTGCTGTTCTTTTTGGGAACTTTACCTTTGGAATCAAAGCAATGAAAGTTGAGTTTGCATTACCTGGCAGCTTATCGGTCGCGAAGAACTTCTCAACAAATTCTGAATTTAAGAAGATTGGCTTTACTCAACTCCCAGCATTTCTTAAAGAAGACCGTGTTAAACCCGTCCGGGCCCGAGGCTTTCGTTTCATCACAATTCCACACTGCTAGTTTCGCCTTTTCTAATGTGAATAAATTTTCTAGTGTAGAGCTTCACTAGATGAAAGCTGTTAGAGGTTCAAGTCCAACACTGCCTCCAAACTCCTTGAGTTACAATTGAAATGATTTGCAAAGTGGTAAAAAACTTTCTGTTTTAATCCCACACTTAAATTTTCCCAAACTCCTTGATCCCACACCTTTGATCCCAAACTCCTTGAGCTATTCCGTCTTCACCTAAATTTTCCCCTTTGATCCCACACTTTTTCGCCCAAAATTTTACAGCTCTATGATAAAAGGAAGTATTCAAGTCCTTTTGTCTTAACCGGTTGATTCTAGCTTTCTGACACCATAAATCTTCCTTGGCTCTCAATGTATCCCAAAGCTGGATTTTACACTGTTTTTAGCTCTTTCCAGTTTTTATGGGTCGATATTGTTAATATGTCCTAGATCTTCCAACTCATTTGTTCTTCTTTCCAGAGTATCGCATTCTTCAATAAATTGTCACAAGATTCTTTGTTCCATTTTTTCAGTGCTAACTTCACCCATTTTAGTTTTGAAGCTGTAGTCCTCTCGCCACTTTGTTTATTCTCTCACACCTCCTGGATTAGATTTCCTTGAAACCCACATTTGGTGAAGACCCCACATACATTTCCTTCACCTGTATCCGTTGATTTTTCACCCTCTTATTTTTTATTATAGTCTCTGGAAAGCACACTGAGATTCTAGAGCTGAGAATCTGAAGGCCGTTTAGCCTCTCCTTCGTCCTAAGTGTTGAATCTAAACCCCCCGTACGCACGAAGGCGAATCTTGTGCCCCTTTTGCTTAGCTTTCTTGCAACAAAGACGTGCAAAACTTCACCATGTCTTCCAAAAACCTGCTAAATTCCTTTCCAATGCAAGGAAGGTGGTAAGTTGTCTACGAACAGGGGAACGACCTCCGTTATCGACCGCTTTTCCGACTTCTCTTCGACTATTTTTCCCTTGTCGTCGGTTATGTTCATGGCTACCATTCTACTATTCTATTTGGCTGACAACATCGAATTATTTGAATAAGGTTCAACATTAAAATAGTGAGTATTAGGGCTGTAAATGAGACGAGACAGATCTCGAGCTACTCGAGATCGACTCGATCTTGGCTCGATAAATACTTGGATCGAATGGACCCAACTCGACTCGATTTCTTAACGAGTCGAAACGAGCTACTTGATATTCGACTCGAAAAGCTCGTGAGTAGTTCGAAAAAATATTATATTATAATTTTATATTTTTTAAAATTACATTATTAAAAATATATTAAAAATACATTATTGATGAATAAATATTCTTGAATTGAAAATGGTTAAAAATTATTTTTGAATAAATATTCTTATATTTATTTTAAATTGATAAAAAAATTATTTATCTAATGACAAATATTTAATATATTTCTAATGATAATATTTGTAATAACTAATTTTTTAAATTGTTGTTATATTTTGAGGTTTTGGGTTCAAATATCATAAATATCAAGGGTTTGAGCATTTAATATCAAGATACTATATTGTACTTACCTCATAACTAATTATGTGATAAGGTTTAGGGTTTAGGATTTAGAGTTTATGTGATATGATTTAAGGTTTAAAGTTTAAAGTTTAGGGTTTATGTGTTAGGGTTTAAGTTATGCCATGAAGGTAACATACAAATTATGCAAAATGATGTTATATGGCTCATAAATAAATTATTCACATACTTATACATAAACATATCAACATGCAAAATAAATATACACAACTAATTAAAGAAAACAATCCTAAACAGAGACTAAATTAAGAAAAATCTAAATGTGATGACTAATTTAAGCTAAAATTTAAACAATTGAGGGATTGTTTTGTACAAAACGCATAAATCTAGAGAGCCTAAAGCTAATTTACCCCTAAGGTTATGGTGGCTAAACGATAATTAACCCCAAAATTAATTAGGGTTTAGAACCTAAATTAAAACAAACCTAAACTAAATATTCATTTCAGCCGCTCAAGCCTCACGCCCTAACCTTCTCCAACTCTCCCCCTCTCATTCTCATGCAAACCAGAAAACAGTGTCGCAGGCCCGCAGCTGCCGCTCCTCTCGCGTTTCTTCAACGGAGTTCTACACTTCAACTTCTATCATTTTTCCTCGCTCAACCCTAACAGAGACCCACAACCTCTGTGGCTTCAGTCGCCTAGTGCTCCGATGCGGAGCTTAAACTTCTCCTAAACATATTTCGGTGACAACCTTCATAAAAAAACATCCCCAAAGCCGTAAACTTAAACCCATAATACCCTCGTAAATACCCAGCTTCACCACTCCGTAACCATGCCAGACCACGACCACCGCGGCCTTCGCCGTCCCCATGGGCTCCGATGAAGAGTCCTAACGCCTGGACCACTCTTTCCTCGCTGGCCTAGGCAAGAAACCCAAACTTTACTGCACATTAATGTATGCTCTAGATATGATATGTTCTCCTCAGTACACGATCTATGCCCTTCGAAAATCTTGGTGAACTTTTTTTTCATTCTTGCGTATCTTTTACATGTATATCTGAAAACTTAAAAGAGAAAATCTTTCGCATGTGACAACATTTAGGTTTTTCAAAGTGGAGATCTCGCTGCTGCTAAAGTTGTGTTGTCGAACATGGCTGTTGCACTTGACCGTGTGCTTTTGGATGTAGAGGTAATTGTTCTAAAATGCTATTTCAAGATGAATCTACAGTTTGTAACTTTTATGAACTTCCTTTTTTAGTTACTGCATTTCGATTATAAGTTTTTATGAACTTCTACATGAAATATGACGGTAGCTTTTCAAGATCCTTTTGTATTTCAACCCTACCACAAAGCTTTGTGGGAGCCATTTGACTACTACAAGTTTGGTCAAAATTATATTCGACCTTTGATTGATTTCAGGTGAGTGGACAAATACCACACTGTCTTATTATAGTGGTTTCTTTAGTTATGTTGATTTAGGTTGCAGAAAACTCCGTTGATAATTGAATATGGTTTTGTCAAGAAATATATGGTTGTTCAATTTCATAACTCTATTAAGGTGAACCAATACATTAGATTTTCACGTTAGTGATTAGGACATATGTGAATGTCACAAGTAAGGTTATATAAATTTTTGATTAATTATATCTTTGAATACAATCTAAGGTTGAAATTGTTTTATATTTTGTATTCTATCTGGTGGTTCATTCGTTGTATATTTCAAAATTTTCACTCCCCTTCTTCTTCCCAGAAACATATTATTTTACATGTCCCATAGATACAATTTAATTCTTATCAACTGCTGCATAAGCTGTTAATTGTCATTCCTAGTATTGGTTTTGGTGTTTGGTTCTCTGTCCCTTGTTTTTTGCTTGGTGCTCTGTCCCTTGTTTTGTGCTTGGTGCTCTGTCCCTTGTTTTGTGTGTCTGCAGGGCATGGATTCGAGCATGGCCAGCATGGGCGACGACAGCATTGGTTTCGGTGGATGGCAGACCAGCATGGGTCTTCCTCGGTGGGTTCACGTGGGTGGTGCACTATCTCGGGCTTCCTCGTCGATTTGCACCATATGTTAATATAATAAACATGAGTAATAATAATAATTATTATTATTATAAAAAAACTTCAAAACTTATATTAATTATCCTAAATTTCTTGTAATTGTATTTTTTATTTTTTAGATTTTTTATAGTTCATACATTCATATTATAATGTAATGGTAATGGTTGATTAAAGGGAAAATTATTTATATATTTTAAATGTAATATAAGATTTTTGTAGGATCAAATTCGAGTTTGAGTTCGAGCTTTAATCGAGTTCGAGCTTGAATCGAGCTCAAAATCGAGCTTCAATCGAGCTCGAGTCTCGAGCTCTTGAATTTTTTTTGAGTTCGAGCCTTTTCGAGTTCGAGTCGAGTTTTAATATTATCTTTGGAGTTCGAGTCGAGCTTGAAAATTTTAGGCTCGCGAGTTTTCAAGTCGAGTCGAGCCTACATTTAAAGTTTTCGAGTTCGAGTCGAGCTCGGCAATACTCGAGCTCGACTCGGCTCGTTTACACCCCTAGTGAGTATGAATAAGTATGGTCCGAAATTACAATGACTTTATTGGAAATTAATTTTGATAAAGTTCACTTTACATGATTTTAAGGATTCTTTAAATGGCTGAATCAACCTTACTGTAGCCTCTAATATTTGAATTTTAACTCTCTAGAAATAACAATTATTCCTGATAATTTAGTTTGTGCTAAAGTTAAATAATTTAAATTAAAATAATAATAAAATCACATTTTGATTCTTATAAAATGATAAAGTTTTAATTTAATCATTTTAAAATTATAAAATTATGAATTAAAGAAACGATAAAGTTATATTTTAAATTCTTTAAAAATCTATAATTTATTTAGGCTCTTAAGAAAAAAATTCTAATTTTACTGTCGTATGATTTTAGTCCTAGATTTTTTTTTGGATAATTCAATTTTCTTACTCAACGAATCAAGAACTGCTACAAAAATAACCGATCACAAAAATCATATGTACATCATACTTACAAGACAAAAGATCGGTTAATCAATACCTCAAGAATTACATAGAGAAATATTGATACTATCAGACATATTAATATTAACCCCCTCAGTTTGGTAGAAACAGAATCTTTGATACAAGCAAAAAGGTCGTCAACAATCCTTGTACATCCTCGGAAAATTCGTCTATTGCGTTCCTCCCATAGTACATAGATTTTGGCACACCAAGCAATCTTTAAAATGGTTGAGAGAAGAGATTTGCCTTTCCAGTTATTGCTTGCCCATGTGATAATGTCTTCCCAAGTTGAAAGTGGTTTTTTTAACCCATTATGAAGCAATATTGAGTCCCATAAATTAGCAATATTGAGTCCTAGAATTTCTTCTAATCATAAGGACTTATTTTGAAGTTCACTTTCAGGTGGATTATATATGGTGCATTAAGGGAGAAGAGATCAGCCATTTTTTCAACCATATAGATTGCACGTTCTTAAGGGGGGGGGGATTCAAAGTAGTACATGATATTTTCTTGCATATTCATGAGTTGAAGTGCCATTGACTGTCAATGTTAGGCGAACTTGATAGAATTACAAGTACCATTGATGGTCCATGTTAGGTGAATTTCATAGCATTCGAAGTGCCATTGATGGTCCATGTCAGGTGAAGTTGATAGCATTCGAAGCTAACTGAGCTTGCAGGGATTCCACCTACGTATGGAATCAAGGATTAGAGAATGGTCGCAGATTCTGTTGTCTTGAGAAGGCTTGTTGTAAGGTGAAAATATGAGCAACGCAACCATGATCTTGAATCCTTGCTTGGGCTTCAGAAGGATGACATTGCTACCACCAAACACTTCATGAAAAGATGCAAACTTTTCAGGGCCTTGTTCCGAGAGAAACAAACAGCAGAAGGGGCTGCATTTTCGTCTCAGAAACTTGAATGCGCCACAAGGGGTGGCAGTGCTGGAACATGTTGATGCCATGGGAAGAGACTACATAGAATGACAAGAATTAAGAGGATCTTCAAAGTGACAATGGGGAGTACTAATTTTATAGGGGGGATTAAAGGGCTATTCAGGGTTCTAAGCTAACCTTGATTTATGCAATTCTTATAAAAATATCAGTAAAATTTACAGAACCCTATTGTTGGCATCAATAATTTAAAAGATCATAAGCATCGCTTCCACTCAAAAGCTTTTAACCTACACGTGAAAAATAAATGCACCAGCCGGGAATCGAAAACGGGACTATACCGTGTACTACTCTACCACTAGACCACTGGTGCTTCTGTTTCAGCTTTTAATATTTTTTATTTTCATATTTAAAAAAAAGCAATCGTGTTAATCTACAAACACCAGAGAAATACCAAAATATATTGGTTTAACCTGTTGAATATACAAGGTAAGAGATATAAAAGAATAATGAGTGGTTACTAATATCTGAGATAATCTATGGTGAGTATACATATGTGGACTGAGAAGAGGTAGGGTCTGTAAAAAGAAAATGGTAAAATACGTAAATAGGACCCAATTAGAACACTTTGTTTCACACCGACCCAAATGATTTTTCTATTTTTTTACTAAAGACTTTTAAGACCCTTTAGCCAAAATGAAAAAAAGAAAAGCAGCATAAACGCTATTTATCCATAGACAATAAGAGATACTTTCAACTCTTTATTATTGTAAAAAGAATTTATAATAAAACTTGCACTTGCTGCAGTTAAGCTTTTGTTTTTGCTTTCTACTACATCATATCAACCTAGAATATATTCTCTAAAAGAAAGGTAAAAGAGTACATCAAATGGCTATATATATATATGCATGAATAATACATAAATGGCTATATATGTAGTTCCCTGATGCTTCTTTGGTTGTCAATTTTTGCAGCCCCCTCCCTAGCTTCTTAACAATGCATTTTCCCTTCTTTTTTTAGGTACACAAGGAAGCCGCAGTCCGAAGAAAGGAAAAAGATTGCAGATGATCAGATACAAACCACAAAGCTACTAGATTCAGCCTCTTAATGATGGCTACATGAACCAACTCAATGTTTGCGATGATGCAGCACAATAAGCATCTCAATTGTATATGGTTCATTTCATTATTCATTAACAAAATATATAATATGGATAATGCAGAGGACTTAATTTCGAGACATATACTCGTCTTAGAACTTATCGAGCCTTGTTAGAGACAATTGGAGTCATGGCGACTGTTAGTGAAGATACAAATGAAATTAATGCAGATGGGCAAAGGCATTTCGAAAGGATTAGCTAATTATTTGACCTAAAGAACCCTGCGAATCTTACTCCTATATACAAATCCTGTATGTGGTGTATGTAATAGTTTGGTTTTGAGTCTTACATGCCTATACTGTAAAGCTATTGGATTTGTGTTTATATCCGTCATCTATTGACATGAAGAAACAGAAACACAGATCCATCAAAAGTAGTCATCAAATGCCCCCTCCTTATCACTGTCTGCAGTACCTGCACAATCCAGATCTCCAAAACTAAGAAAAACGACACGGTGTACTACATATACATCCTCCCATCATAAAATATTAACTATCAACTGACTTTGAAATATAACAAATTTTATTACCCAAAAAATTGGATATAACGCAATGAATTTGCTAAACCAGGCAAAATCTTTTTCCCTAAAAGAGAGGTTTTGATCTAGAACAAAAGATTTTCAATTCTTCTTATCTACTATGGGTTTGTTTGAAGCTAAGTCCAACCTGCATTTGCATCAAGAAATAAAGGCCAACCTGTAATGTCTGTGGTTGTAGCATCCTTAACAAGCACATGGGGAGCTTTAGCAGGGTGGGAAGAGTTGTTGGCTGAAGTAAGACCTGAAGCTCGAAATGCGAAATCTGAGCCATTTGATGAAGCATCATCAGAGTTCTCCAAATTATCAAAGTAATCAACTCGAGCAATGGGTGGAGAGGCTGAGGCTGAAATTGAATTTGATGAAGTTTGTAAAAACGTTTTAAGTTGTGAAAATTGCTCAGACATACCAAATACGAGCCTGAGACATGGAAAAGCCAGATCTAGTGTAAGTAACAAGGAATCAGGAGCTTTATAACTAGTATATTGTTGCAACCAGAATTAAGGCAGATATCAAAACTATCTTAGAGATATAATCGAGGTAATGCTCTACTTGGTAACTATCGTTCCTAATAATTTTTTTCCATAGTATTTTTCATGAGCTATCCCCAATTCCCCAGCAGTGACCTTTCATGAAAATAAAGTTGCATACATGTCAATGACCTAGCATAACAGAGTATGTGATTTCATCACTGATGTTAAACCACAAAACAACATTTACATTCATTAAAATTTGAAAACCTTTAAGTATTCAATCGTCCACTTTTAGACAAGGGATCAAATAAAAAAATTCAATAAGTATAATATATCACTGTATTTTCTTAGAGGGAGATAATTAACCCAATAAATAGAAGCCCAGAACAACTTCTAAATATAAAACATAGCAAGTTAAAGTTATCCAAAGCTGATACCAGTAAATCGTATGATACATTTTAAAAGGTGATAAAAAGTACTACCTGTTCAAAGAGTCTTGAAGCTGACATACTTTCTTTTCAGTTTCTTCTAATTTCTTGCGTCTTAGCTCACTTAATTCTTGGGCTTCAGCATGTTTCTTCTCATATTCATCAGCTCTTCTCCTTTCTTCCATCAAGAGGGCCTGTAAGATAAAAGGTCACTCTTAGTGAAAGAAGCATTAAAAGGTTCAAACTTCAAAGCTTGGAAGGTAGTTTTCTCAATTAAGATATGACGTGGCATGTCAAGCCAAGCAAGAAACTATACAATGAAAAAAACTCTATCCAGATTGTACATGGTTTGCTAACCATGTCAAAGTGATAACTTCAATATCACATCACAATTATGAGATCATATGACTTGACACGTCAAAAAAATTCAGCCTTTAAAGCAGTACCTTCAGCTTTTCAACTTCTGATGGAAGGTTCTCAGCCTTTAAAGCATCTTGTATGGAAATTGATCTTTCTACAACAATAGGACATGATTCAATTTCTTTCTCTGCGATCTCTGGCTCTTCATCAGGAGACACATTGATTTTTTTTCCTTCGTTCCGTTCAAAAGGTGGAGAATCTAGTATCTCTGCTTTCTCATGTACGTCAACCTATACAAATAATAGTTCGGTTAGATATCATAAGTACCAAATGACACAAAGTTGATTATGAGAAAATTTCAACCCTCATAATGGCCAGCACCATCACCACAATTATGACAAATGCTAAGTATTTTCTTCTCATCATCCAGGCATATCTAGTTCAAAGCAATGGAGGGAAAATCTTTTCAATTTCATAACTTTAAAATTCTCAGACAGTGCTGAAATTCATCGTTTAAGCTTTAGAGTTCCCTGCTTAAAAGTGTCTTGATCCAAAGACACATGAGGGCAAATCTGCATGCTTGGACCACACGTGCAGATAACTGTTATATATGTATAAATAGATGGGTGCATATACATTTATGTTTGTATATGTGATCTTTAAGATGTACAATCAAACAGATATACAAGCTCTTACCTTGACAAAACCTCATATTTGGAAAGGAAAGTATATCAAGGTTTATTACACTTCTAAAACTCCCTTCAAGAGTTATAAACTATCAAACTTGGGTTTCTTATTTCTAATTTTAGATCTATTTGTATTTTACTAATTGCACTAATAGAAAAACCACCAAATTTAACAAAATCTAATGGGCAGTAAAAAACAAGTCTTCTCACTTGTAATTAAGTTTGGTTAGCGATAAAGTTTCCTAGTTTCAATCTCCTGTCTTAATCCTAATACTAGCATTTAATGGCATAGAGTTAAAATTTTTCTGATTTGCATTTTAAGTATTGTAAAAATAAATTTGGCCAAAAAATAATTTTATGAATTTTCAAAGATAACAGTATTTAAAGTCTAAAACTTCTTAGGAAGTTCACAGAAAATCCAATGTAGATCTAAGTTACTATGCATTTATGCAAATATAGATAATTGGAAACAGTTTTGAAGAATAGTATCCTGAGCTCCAATATATTAACCTATAACTAAATGAACTCCAACATTTTTAAGGTCAAAGTATCAAGAACATTAACATTCAGATTTAGCACACAGAACATAAGGCTAGCAGTTTTCTTCAGAGATATTTATGTATCTTACAGTTGATTGCTTTTCTGGCTCTTTATTTTGTAGTTCATGGACTTCTTTTTCTTCTTTCTTTACCTCTTCTACTGCTTTTTCTTCTTTCTTTTCCTCTTCTTCTGCATTTTCTTCTTTCTTTTCCTCTTCTTCTGCCTTTTCTTCTTTCTTTACCTCTTCTTCTGCATTTTCTTCTTTCTTTTCCTCTTCTTCTGCCTTTTCTACTTTCTTTTCCTCTTCTTCTGCTTTTTCTTCTTTCTTTTCCTCTTCTTCTGCTTTTTCTTCCTCTTCTTCTGATTTTACTTCTTTCTTTACCTCTTCTTCTGCTTTTACTTCTTTCTTTTCCTCTTCTAATGCTTTTTCTTCTTTCTTTTCCTCTTCTTCTTTTTTTTCTACTTTCTTTTCCTCTTCTTCTGCTTTTTCTTCTTCTTCTTCTTCTTTCTTTTCCTCTTCTTCTGCTTTTCCACTGTCCTCTTCTGCTTTTCCACTGTCCTTCTCTTCTTCTTTTCCATCGTCCTTCTCTTCTTCTTTAGAAGCCTGAAAATTGTGTAATGCACATTGATGCGGGATAAAAAAAATGAGATATTGGATGTTTAAGTGCCAAATAGGGACAAGCCTACATATTGATAGTGCATTAATATGTAGTGCACTCACAACCATATGGAAACACGAAGAAAACATGCTTCCCTCCTATATGTTTCTTTTGATATCCTCTAAAGTACATCCAACATTTATTTTGAAGTTAAAATGAAGATAATAAGCTAAAGAACCCAAGCCTTAGCTTTTGGTGAGAAGAAGATAGGTTTTCCAATTTTTAAACCTAATACCAACTATTTGGTGAGAATACAGACTTAGAGCTACTCAACTATTTAAACTTAAAGCTTTTTACAACAAAAGAAAATAAATTGAACATATGAAAACAGTGAGTCTTTGACCCAACACATATCTAGGTGCAGGTCCTTTTACGTTTGGAAGGGAAGGAGTCCGATTCTGAACTCCTTTTCCGAAGGAAGGTACTTTGAATAACATTGGACCACTTAGCATAAAGCTAACCCAGAAGAGGGAGGGTAGAATTTTGCTGGTTGAAGCTAATAAAGGAGATAGTTGTTAGGAATCATGTATACATCATTTATATATGACAACCAACAAGAAAAGAGAATGGAACATGAAACTCAAAAACCAGTAAATGAAGTTCTTGAAAAGTCAAAGCCTTGTTTGATGTTAAAGGTATAAGAAATGGGAGTTACCCAGAAGACAGATCAATAAGGTTCACAAAATGGGAATGGAAACATAAGCTATTATGTATTTGAAAATTGGAGGGTTGGGTGAATTAAGTAACTCTGATGTGGTGTAATTTGAGTCCTCTATTGTTAGTACTATACTAATTGCAGTTTAGCATTGTAGAACCTGCTTTCATGGTGCAATGACAAATATTCAAAGGACACCCAACTTAAACTGAAAGAATACTCTATTTTTCCTTGTCTTGCACTTGACTAATAAGCTATCTAGAAAATCTTTTTCAATTTCACCAGCTAAATTTCAGGAAGCCTAACAAGATGAAATTTTCAGTTACCTCTTATCTGATGAGATTGTTATAAAGATCAATATACAAATTAAAGATACAGCTAAAACCATAATGCTTGCTTTAATTTCTTTTTCTAAAATCTTAGTTTCTTACTTTAATGCTGAAATACATTTTTCCTAATGGAAATAAAGGTAACATATCATTATTGTCAGCGTTAAAAAAACATGTATGTCAGTCTCATCCACCACTAACTACTAAATACTTTATAAGCCATACCTAACTGTCATCGATGCATGAATGCTCGTAACTCTTATTTTAGAATTTTAAAAAAGCATTGGAAACAATAATAATGCAAATATTAAATGCTAATTACAAACTTAGGAAAGTAAAAAAAATACCTACCGTAATATGCTTTGTGAAAGGACTGATACCTTTTTATCTTCTTATAGGATGAAACAGCATTATGACATCACCGATATGACGCAGGGATTTGTTCAAATTAAGAAACTTGTAAACATGATAAGATAATTCTTTAGGCATTACACAAAGCTGGACAATAACCTGTATAATAGCTGCGGCATGTTTTTGTTTCCTAGTTTCGAACTCATTACGGGCAACCATGGCACGCACACCTGTCTGCAATATAATTGCTGAAGATCTGATATCCATGTACTTTTTACTAGCATCTCTTCTGCGGAAAGACTTCTGAATTTTGACAGCAGATGCTATTTTTTTCCTGAATATCAGTGATTCACAAGCTAGAATTCCTAGAAGATACAACAATAAGACCAATGCAAACAATTATTACATGCAGGTGATCATCCTACAGGCCAATGACAACAAAATAAAACAAACTTGGGTTAACTAGAGATTGATTGGAACCAAATTACTCTATATGACTGAATTTTAGAACATAGACTCACCCCTCACAACAGCTTGTATGAAAACAGTAGCCGTACGGATATCAAGATATTGTTTGCGAGATAAACAAGATCTAACTTTCTTCTGAATAGCCTTTGCGGACTCTCCAAGTACTTTTCCCTTGACTGCATCCAACTCTGCCATCTGACCAGCTTTTAAAAAGATCTTCGTTTTCCCTATCTGCAAACCAGCTCAAGGCTCATAGAATACATCCTCTTGCAACAGAATCTCAATATACAAGCATTTATAACCAAAAATATTTTCCAGAAGCAAAGACCGTGCCTTCAAATACATTTAACATACTTTCTGTAGATTAGATCAATACTGTAAGAAAAACAATGAGCATGATCTCCATCATCCAGCCATCAATTTCTCAAATGTTGTGGTTCAGTTGGCTTGATATGTAACCATTTCCTTCTTCACTTGTATTAATTTAATCTCAAATTCTGTTTGTCAAAAAAAAAAAGGAAAAAGGAAAGTTCTTGAATTACTTGATACCCTGAAAGCCCCATCTTTTCCATAATCGATTTGCATGCAACATTTTCTTCAACACTGAGGATATGCAATAACCCCAAAATGAGACCTTAATCAAGAAAAAAATAAGCATATGTTTTTTTAATGTTCTAATCAATTTGGGAAGTAGAAGAATACTTACATCCCATCCAAAACTTCTGGCGCAAGAATAGCAAATCGAGTTATAAATTCACTAAAGGTTCTATTAGTAGGGTATCCCTCACACTTGACTCTGATTGCCTCTAGGACACCCTATACAACTAACAATTAGTTTAGAATGCACAGGCGTAGACCAATAAATATTTGTGAATTGTGATGCAATACCAAGTATACTTACACCAGAACGTAGTTGCTGCAAGACATTGACATTCTCAAATACTTCAGGTCTTAAATCAGAGTTTGGTTTTATACATCTGATGTAGTGGGGGTTCAGTAGAATTTAGTGTATCCATCAATTGTTGCAATTGTAGCTGCAGCAATGAGGCCAAAACATGAGATCTCACCTTTCACAGAGATATTGAAGTATTGAGAACACATGCATGGCTTAACAAACCATTCATTTATCAACATATTTTAGAATGTATGTGTGTGTGTGTGTGTACAAAACTCCTGACTAGTTTATTGAAATGCTAGCAAAATTAAGATACCTTGAAACGAGAACCAATAGATGAGAACTTGCCAGGTTTAGGTGTATCCTCATTAAGTGGAGGAAAAAGGGTTGTTACAAAGGAACATTTGGAAGTACTTAACATCTCCTGATGTTCAGGAACAACATAGTCTTTGTTCTTGTCTAAAAACAGATCACACTGATACTGGACCTGAAAATATGCATGGAATAATAAAAACTTATATGCAATGAATAGAATTGCAGGTGTCTAAACACGGAGACAAGAGGAATCATAACTAACCTCTCCTGCATAATGAACAAGGGTAAATTCTGTGCGAGCCAATTTTGGCTTTACAAAGCGTTTGTGAGTCATGAATGTCTGATAGAGCTTTTGGGCAAAGGTTTCATGGGTTGATTTTGGAAACATACTGTATAATGAAAAATGACAACTATGTAAGGAGTTCAAGAAGAAGAAACATTAGACTTCATGAATGCTACGTATGAACAGGATACTGCATTAGGAATATCTTATTTCACATGTAGCATAGCTTCAATGTCACATATATTGTAAAGAAAATGTTTTCATACCATGTTTCATCAAGAAGAGCAATGATCCCCCCTGGTTTCTGCAGAAGCATTAGAAATTAGAAATTTGTTAAAAAAAATGCTATTCAACAACTCATGTGCACATACTAGAAAATATGGAACAAAAAAATACAACCCCTATAATAACACAAAACCAGGATACATGAGGATTTACATGGCAAGATGGCAATGGCTAATGCAGTTATGCAATGGTAATTTTACGAGGTAAGGTAAGTCACGAAGGTATGGGTTAAAAGAATGAACCAGACAAAATATTATCTGCTCCACATTGCGATCCAAAAGGATAAGTAGCTCCACCCCATAAACCATGTCACACCCAATTTTCAGAGCTCTGTTCCAACAAGCAAACGGTAAGCTCAAAAGAAACTCCATCCTAACAATGTTGTCAGCATTGTACCATCTCATTCCGTGGTCTGATTGGCACCAACCCTTTTTACTAAGGAAACTTACTGAAATCAAATGTAAAACAAATGTTTTTTATATAAAAATGGCCAAAGTAAAGAAGTCTCCCGAACCTAAAGAAGAATGGTAGCAGGCCAAAAATGTTTCAAGAACACAACCAAATCAATGCTCATTGTTAAGATATTTTTGGGTCAAAATAATTGACAGCGCTTCAAATACCTCTAAGCTGATTTACTTTGTGATATATGTCTTCAACTAATCAAATTTGGTAGCAGCTGATTTACTTTGTGAAGACTGAGGAAGAGCCAAGAGGTGAAGGTACTGCTGTATGTAATTAAAGTTATGGTGGCCAGCATTCATACTACTTTTTTAGATAAGATGGACTGGTAAAGAAAAAAAATTTCAATGCATTTGAATTGCTGCCTGAACACTTGACAGTTAATAGATTTTCATGTCAGCATCAGAAGATTGACCAATAGAATCTCATAAACCATCAACACTACCTGTACCGCAAATAGCGACAACACTAGTGTTTCCTATCCTCCAACAGACTGAAGCCAATAGCAAAATCTTTCAGCTTTTTTAGTTAGATATATCAAACCTTTGCCAAATGTTTCATTAAGAAGCTATTACTTGTACATATCTCATTGGAAAAGAAAAAGGGCGTCTCCAATCCCTTCGCATCCATCATTCTCCATTCTGATAGTTGTTCCAGGTAGATTAGAGAAAACAATATTTTCTTTAACCAAAACTTCCCTCTCCATTAGCCTCAGGCAGGGTTGTTGAGTGACTCACCAGAAGTACGAATCCTTTTCTCCTCCCTATTGGCTATTGTTCCTCTGCCATTGATGTTTAAAATATAGTAGTTTTTCATTAAGGTTCTAAACGGTCACAATGATATAAAGCTAAAAAAATGTGCACCACATGCTATTACCTTTTTTTAATCTTTCATGCGCCCTCAAATATATTTTACCATTCATGCTGATAATATTTCGATTTATACGCATTTTTAAAATTGTACACTTTGCATGTAGAAGGCAGATACATTACTGTGAAAATCATGAAGTTTAAGACAAGTGTACCATTTATATTAATCTGAATGGAATGGTACGCAATTTGAACTTCGAAATCTCAAAATGCATATGGTAATTTTAATCTTCTGGATAAAATAAGCAATACTAGCCCCAGCATGAAGTGTTTCTATGCACACTTCGGGTTATACCACTAACTAGTGTCATGTTCCATCAAGATCCTTACACTTATTTGATGCCACATATGTTTCATTCAAGGGGTGTTGACTAGTTTATATTTAGGGAAAAATTTTAGTAGGGAGACTACCCAAGGCTAAGAAAATAACTGGAAGAGGAAAAAAGTAAAAGTAGATACATTTGACAATTTCAAAGTGCTATGAACAGTTAAAAGGACAGTATGCAACCTTTTCGATAAGATCCAAAACATCTTGATTATCAACAAATTCTATATAGCTCCAATCTATTTCCTCTTCTTTGTATAAAGCTTGCTCCATCTTGAACACGTGCTGATTGTATAACCATACTCAGTACATACAATGGAGGACTGAACTAAAACTTAAGTTGTCACATGAGACTAACCTCATACCTGGTTGAAATGCTGTTGAAGCTTTTCATTTGTGAAGTTAATACAAAACTGCTCAAAACTGCACAGAATAATGTATAAAACCAAAATATAAGTAGTCCTAAACATGATTAATTTCTATTACTTTATAATTCATAAATTTATCAAAATCACAACTAAGCCTTGGATTTCTTTAATATCTCAACCGTTCTTGTAAGTCTAAAAAAACTCTGACAATGAAATTCTCCATTCCCAAAAGATTAACAACAAAATAAAGCACCATAAAATAATACTCAATATAATTAAAAAAAAATTATGGTCCATTATGCCCCTTAGTCCCAATGTTGTCAAGGGTGAAATATGCACTCTAGGTGCTTAAACCCTATATTGCCTCAACCGCAACACACAAAAGAAAAGCACCAGACCGAGTGAAGTAAAGCACAATATGCATGTAAGATTTTATATTATATAAATCTTATGATAATAAACTAAAGAGAAAAAAGTGAAAATAAAAGAAACTAAAGAGAAATTCAATCAGACAGGATTCTTTTTATGCCTATCGCCTTATGAAAAAGCATGCCTAGGTGCACTAGGTGTGTTCCTGATCAAATGGACATGGCTTGAAAGGGTCTGCGACACTAATGCTGTATAATGCTAAGACGCATGTCTTGACAACACTGTTTAGTCCACACCTTTTCATTGGTTAAAACCACATAGACTTTAAATAATACACTATAGGAAGGCAGTGAAGCAGAGATAATATGCAATCCGCTGCAGCATTATTAGTGTATGTGCCATTGCTCATTGTTAAGGATGCATTTGTTGGTAAAGTCTAAAATAGAAGATAATTTTATTAATGTTTTCCTTTTTAAATGATGTAATGTGTACTATATGAAGGCCATCAAGAAGAGATCACATTTCTTTGGCCTTGCGACTCAAGCAATATAAGTTGTCTAATGCCTACAATATCCCTTGTGCCCTTGATAACACCAATCCATTGTTTTCAAAATGCTAAGATGCTTGAATAAACAACTCAGTATAAGAAGGTCTATGCCCAACTTCCTTACCCCATCATTAAAGGAACTTCACATCATAAAAAAGGGATAAAGGAGGTTTTCAAATGAATTCTTGATAGTCCATCTTATATCCATGCATTATTGGTAGATAGCTGTTAACCTTGGATGTTCAGAGAAAAGTAAATGGTTTAAAATATTGCTACACAATTCTAAAGCAAAGTAGGGACCATCATCTGGTAAGGTGGTAAATGCATTAGATCCACAAACATTCCAAAATAAAAATATACCAACTTGTCACTGAAAATAGCCACTCTTAAGCAAATCCAGTGGCCACTAAAAATATTTCCAATGAATCCAACCTACTACTTAGGATCCTGCCTTTTTGCAGGATCATAATGTTAAAAGTTCAAAGCTTGGCAACCAACTTTGAAAAAATGGTTTTCAAAGTTTGGTAAATGTTTTTTTGAAAATGGTTTTCAAAGTTTGGTAAATGTTTCTTTGAAAAATGGTTTTTCAAAGTTTGGTAGATGTTTGTTGAAATATTGTAATGAGATAATCATAATTAGTCACTAGACTTTAGGGTATTTACAAGATTAAATCCTTACGCTTCAACTATAAACACCCTAGCTCATTTAGCTTCAAAATCATCCAAAATCCCAAATCATTTCTCTCCCAATACTAGAGAGTTTCTTCTGAGTAGTGAGTATTTTGTAAACACCTGTAAATTTTCTCTCTTAGTAAAAGATCTACAGCAGTCCGGAGACGTAAGCACAATTGGCTGAACTCCGTTATCAATTTTCGGGTATTATTTTTCCGCTTTTATTTCGCACTTACTAATCTGGTTATAGGAAAATTACTTGTTTACTCGTTTATTTCCCAACAACTGGTATCAGAGCTTTTGGTTATAAATTTTGTTAATTTTTACGAGGTTACTATTTATTACTATTCACATGAATAGTGAATTCCGTGAATTGTAAAAAAAAATCGGCGATACGAATTTGTCGACGGAGGTGTTCTAATACACAGTGGTTTGCAAGAATTGTCAGAAACGATCCAAACGAAGCCAAATTCGAGTGGGAGCGATGGCTGCAGACGAAGGGAATATGAAAATTGAAAAGTTCGATGGTGCGGACTTTGGCTTTTGGAAGATGCAGATTGAAGATTTTCTGTACCAGAAAAATCTATATCAACCTCTCTCAGGAAAGCAACCAGAGGGCATGAAAAATGAAGACTGGACTCTTCTCGACAGACAAACCCTCGGAGTTATCCGACTGACGTTGTCCCGCAATGTTGCTTTCAACATAGCAAAGGAAAAGACCACGGCGGGTCTTATGACGACTCTCTCCAGTATGTATGAGAAGCAATCAGCCTCAAACAAATTTCACTTGATGAGACGATTATTCAATTTGCGGATGGCAGAAGGGGCATCAGTGGCTCAACACCTAAATGAACTCAACACAATCACAACCCAGTTGAGTTCCGTGGAAATTGAATTCGATGATGAAGTTCGAGCTTTAATTCTCTTATCATATCTACCAGACAGTTGGAATGCTACTGTTACAACAGTCAGCAGCTCGTCGGGAAACAACAAATTAAAATTCGACGATGTTCGGGATCTGGTACTGAGCGAAGAAATTCGACGGAGAGAATCGGGTGAAGCATTAACCTCCTCAGCCTTGCACACGGAGTCCAGAGGGAGAACTTCAGAAAGAAATTCAAATCGTGGCAGATCCAAATCCAGAAAGGAAAAATCAAGAACGGGGAAGAAAGATTTTACCTGTTATAACTGCGGCAAGAAGGGTCACTTTAAAAGAGATTGCCGAGCACATAGAAAAATACCGGCGTACAGGAATCTACCAACATGACAGAGGAGACAGGTGATGCCATGATTCTAAGCGTCAACAGTCCGATTGAATCATGAATCTTGGATTCAGGAGCATCTTTCCACTCCACCCTATGCCGAGAAATCATGGAGAACTATGTCAGTGGTGATTTTGGGAAGATTCATCTAGCTGATGATGAAACCTTGAAGATCGTCGGAAGAGGAGACATCCGACTAAAACTATCAAACCAGACCACCTGGACGCTGAAAGGTGTGAATGGAAGATTACAAAAGAAGCACTCGTCATTGCTCGTGGTAAGAAGACTGGTACTCTCCATGTAACCTCAAACTTAGAGAATATCATTGCAGTTGCAGATGCTGATGGAAAATCAAACCTATGACACCAAAGGCTTGGTCATATGAGCGAGAAAGGGATGAAAACACTTTTGTCAAAAGGGAAGCTGTCGGATCTAAAGAATGTAGATGTCGGACTATGCGAGGATTGCATCTTTGGCAAACAAACAAAAAGTTAGTTTTGCAAAGATTGGTAAGACACCCAAGGCTGAAAAGTTAGAGTTGGTTCATACTGATGTCTGGGGACCATCTCCAATTCCATCTCTTGCAGGCTCATTATATTATGTCACATTCATCGATGATTCTACAAGGAAGGTGTGGGTTTATTTTCTGAAGAAAAAATCAAAAGTCTTTGATACCTTCAGAAAATGGAAGGCCATGGTGGAAAATGAGACTGATCTGAAAGTCAAACGGTTGAGGTCTGATAATGGAGGAGAGTACAAAAATCGTAGATTCAGAGAATTTTGCGCAAATAATAGGATCAAGATGGAGACAACAGTTCTCATGACACCGCAACAGAATGGCGTAGCAGAGCGCATGAATAGAACTCTAAATGAACGTGCCAGAAGCATGAGGATACATATCGGATTGCCCAAATTTCTATGGGCTGAAGCTATCAACACTGCAGCTTACCTGATCAACTATGGGCCCTCAGTTCCTTTGGATGGCAAAATACCAGAGGAAGTTTGGAGCAAGAAAGAAATAAACATTTCACACATAAGAGTGGTTGGTTGTATTTCTTATGTATACATAGACTTTGCTGAAAGAAGTAAACTTGATGCTAAGTCCAACAAATGTGCCTTTGTTGGTTATGACGGTGATGAGTTCGGTTACCGATTTTGGGACTATGAAAATCGGAAGATCATCAGAAGCAGAGATGTCATTTTCAATGAGAATGTGATGTACAAAGACAGGTCAACCATGGAATCAAGTAACTCCAACACCGAAGCTGAAACAAAGGAATTTGTTGAGTTTGAGGAGATTTCTAGAAATGATGTTCAGATCGCTCCTGAAGCAGTTCAAGAAGAACCAGTCACACCAGAACTGAGACGCTCCTCCAGAATTCCTAAACCAACCCAACGGTATTCTCCTTCTTTGCACTACTTGTTGCTAACTGACAATGGTGAACCAGAGTGCTATGATGAAGCAATGCAAGTGGAGGATTCAGTCAAGTAAGAGTATTCCATGAAAGATGAGATGGACTCGCTTATGTCAAATCAGACGTGGGAATTAGTTGAATTACCACCAGGCAAGAAAGCGCTCCACAACAAGTGGATTTACAGGATCAAGGAAGAGTATGATGGGAGCAAACGCTACAAAGCGAGATTAGTTGTCAAAGGTTTTCAACAAAAAGAATGTATTGACTACAATGAAATTTTCTCTCCAGTCGTGAAGCTATCAACAATTAGACTGGTGTTGAAAATTGTAGCTGCAGAGAATTTACATCTTGAGCAGTTAGATGTGAAGACAGCATTCCTTCATGGTGATTTGGAGGAAGAAATCTATATGAGGCAGCCAGAAGGCTTTATAGAGGCAGGCAAGAAAAATCTGGTATACAGGTTGAAGAAGAGCTTGTATGGTTTAAAACAAGCTCCTAGACAGTGGTACAAGAAGTTCGATAGCTTCATGGGTAGCAATGGTTTTACCAGATGCCAAGCAGATCATTGTTGCTACATCAAGAGGTTCGAAAATAGCTTCATTATTTTATTATTATACGTTGATGACATGCTCGTTGCAGGTTCAGACATGAAAGAGATTATAAACTTGAAGCAAAAATTGTCGAAGCAGTTTGCTATGAAGGATCTGGGCGCTGCAAAGCAGATTCTTGGGATGAGGATCAAGAGAGACACAAAGTCGGAGACTTTGATATTATCACAGGCTGAGTACATCAACAAAGTACTCTCCAGGTTCAACATGCAAGATGCTAAACCAGTAAGTACCTTTAGGTGTTCATTTCAGACTCTTCAAAGAACAGTCACCAAAGACGGAGGAAGAACGTACACAAATGGTGAAGGTGCCATATGCCTCAGCAATTGGAAGTCTGATGTATGCCATGGTTTGTACCAGACCAGATATTGCTCAAGCAATGGGAGCTGTTAGCAGGTACATGAATAATCCGGGTAAGGTACACTGAGAAGCAGTCAAATGGATCCTCAGATATTTGCGGGGTACCACAAATAAAACACTTTGTTTCAAAGGTGGAGATACGATACTGACAGGCTATGTAGATGCTAACTTAGCCGAAAATGTTGACATCAGAAGGAGCACTACAGTGTATATCTATACTCTAGGGGGAACCGCAGTGAGTTGGGTTTATCAACTACAGAAGATAATTGCTCTCTCCACAACTGAAGCAGAATATGTCGTTGTTACGGAAGTCAGCAAGGAGATAGTTTGACTCCAAAGTTTCTTGGAAGAGTTAGGCAAGAAACAAGAAAACAATGTCTTGTATTGCGACAGTCAAAGTGCTATACATCTAGCAAAGAATCTGTCATTTCATTCCAGGACGAAGCACATACAATTGCGATATCATTTTATCCGGTCTCTTCTGGAAGATGGGATTTTGAAACTTGAAAAGATCAGTGGAGCTCAAAATCCGACAGACATGTTGACAAAGACGGTGACTACAGACAAACTGAAGTTGTGTTCAACTTCATTTGGCATGCTAGAGTAACAAGACTAGAAAAACTGCTGTATTGATCGAGGTGTGAAGACAGATTAAAATCAGTCTTCAAGTGGGAGATTGTTAAAAGTTCAAAGCTTGGCAACCAACTTTGAAAAAATGGTTTTCAAAGTTTGGTAAATGTTTCTTTGAAAATGGTTTTCAAAGTTTGGTAAATGTTTCTTTGAAAAATGGTTTTTCAAAGTTTGGTAGATGTTTGTTGAAATATTGTAATGAAATAATCATAATTAGTCACTAGACTTTAGGGTATTTACAAGATTAAGTCCTTAAGCTTCAACTATAAACACCCTAGCTCATTTAGCTTCAAAATCATCCCAAATTCCAAATCATTTCTCTCTCAATACTAGAGAGTTTCTTGTGAGTAGTGAGTGTTTTGTAAACACCTGTAAATTTTCTCTCTTAATAAAAGATCTGCAGCAGTCCGGAGACGTAAGCACAATTGGCTGAACTCCGTTATCAATTTTCGGGTATTATTTTTCCGCTTTTATTTCGCATTCTTACTAATCTGGTTATAAGGAAATTACTTGTTTACTCGTTTATTTCCCAACACATAACTGGCTAATAACCTTTTATTGGAGGATGGGGATAATCACATATTTATATACATATAAAGATTGTTTCTGATACAGGTAACTTAATATGAATAATGATTTCAGCTAGAGTCAATGACAAAAGATTATCAATGATGCAATTTACGAAGTTTTAATTTTTCACACCCATATAAGTACAAATAACACCAGTGCCCTTAAGCAATACCTGCTAGTTTTAAAACTTTCAAAACCATAAATGTCAAGGACTCCAATGAAACACTTTGAGTCAGGATCTTGCCCAATGGAGACGTTTATTTTCTTAACCATCCTGGATATAACACAAATAAGCCATTGATAAGAAATCCATCCAGTTTAAAATGAGTTACGGAACTGCACAAATGCTTCAGAAGTCAGCATCTTACCAGTCAAACAAACGTGAATACAATGTCTTTGCTAAACCATCCCTGCTAACTGCTGCACCATGTGGATCGAGGCTCTTTTTGATAACTTCTTCTGGGGTGACCACATTTCGCTTACATAGTGCAGATTCCAATGCTTCGAGATCACACCTGTAATGAGGATCAGTGGATCTGCAAATACAGAGACACGGAATGGAAAGGAGACAGCAAGCCAAGAGAGAACCTATGATATAGCCATACATGAGTAGGTCTGCTGTCATTTGAAGATGAAATTTGGCTTTGTCGTCCTCTAACACGGATGAATCTTCTTCTTCTTCCTTAGCAAATGCAATATTGCCAAGATGAAGAATTGCAGCTACAATTCTGAAAATTGCTTCCTAAGAAAGAGAAAGAGATATTATTCCCAGTCCGGCTACATACACAGGCAGCTAAATACATCAAAGCTATATAGCATATGGGAGACCTGTTCGCTCTCAGTCATCCCAACAATATCCATTGCTTTCTTGGTTTTAAGATAATCCTTGGCATCATCTACACCAACCAGGTTATAACAACTAGATTGATTAAGGTAATGAAACGTCGTAGGATCTCCCAACTTATACCTCTCAATCTCCTGACAGGACTTAAAAAACTGGTCAGATGGAATGCTATGATAAAGATTCATGAAAATTATTAAAGGGCTATGCAATAAATAATGTAGAATCAGGGTAAATATAAACCTCTGGTGGTGCAGCGCAAAGAAGATAAAAACAGTGGTAGTTCCTTTCAGGATCTGAAATTTGGCAAACACGAGATTTTTCTAGGAGATAAGTTCTGATGGCTGCCCCTGATATTTGTCCACGTCTATCAAATTGAATCTCAACAAATTTTCCAAAACGACTGTGACAACATAATGAAGAGAATGTCAGAAACTACACAAATGACATGACTGAAAAGTGATCATTGAAATTTGAACTATCACAATTCGCTCTTATCAGAAGAAAGAATTTTCACACAAGGAGAGGAGAGCTAATTTTTTTTTTGTTAGTTTAACTCTCTAAAGAAGCACCAGGCTTTGTAAAGAACTTCAAATGTAGTGATTTAAACAAGATGATACTACAGAAGTAAATCCATTTTTTGAACCAAAAAGGGTAACAAATTTAAAACTGTAAGAGAACAATGAATAATTGTGTACACGTCGCATTAGATGAAATTAGGAAGTTAGTCTTTGGCAGAAACCAATAAAAAGAACTTAAAAGTGTAGGTAGAACGACCATCCAAATTACTAGAAACTCTTCAAGCAAGACTATTTTCTCACCTTGAATTGTTATTCCTGACAGTTTTTGCATTTCCAAATGCTTCAAGAACAGGGTTTGACTGCATCAAGACATTTAGTGCATAACATTCAGAAAAAATACATATTAAAAGAACAAGGAACTCTTGTCTATAATAATTTCAAAATTTAATTATATGAAGGGAAAGGAAGATTTAAGGTCCTTTGATTTGTCTAAAAACAAAATTTTGAATGAAAAATGATTACATGCAAGTTAAATTTCCACATACTTTTTGGCATCTGACTCCATTTGCGGGTAGTTTGTTACAGATCCAGAATGTGTTAATTGTAAAAAAAGATTTTCATAGAAATTAGAAGGTGTAATTATAACAAATTTGAAAACAGTAAAATAGTAAAAAAAATGATTAATTTTCTATGCAGTTGCCCATCTGATTTCAAGAAAGCGACCATATTACATGCTGCTGCATTTGATTTGGATTCTATATTTTTGTTTCTCAACCATGTCATAATGTACTGTCTCCAGGTCAACATATGTAGATGCCAGCATGAAGGTCAAATTACATGAAAGACTGATTTTCTAGTCTGAACAAATAAAATAACCATCCTCCTGATTCACATACTGTTTTCAGAAAAGGACCCTCAAAAGACAGGAAAATAGCTCCATTAGCACTAATGAGTCAACCGAATATAAAAACTCAAATAGCAACTGTTCAAGCACTTTCCTTTTCTATAATTTTAGTGACTTGCAAACTACTGCTAATATTCCAACATCAGCCCCCTTATTTCACATTCTCTCCTCTCTCCGCTAAGCAGTTAGGTTTCTCCACTAAAGTGCAAGATTTTTCTTGTGATGGTAAACCTGCCATTATGCTAGCATCTTAAGGATTACACGAGTTAAAATTTTAAGGAAATATACCCTTTTTCCACTTCTAGTCTTTATCCTAGATATAATCCTTTATCTGTCTTTTTGGATAAACTTAGAAGAGGAAATCAAAGGATATTTCAAGGATATTAAGCATTTGATGACATTGGAGAAATTGTCACAACTTTTGACAAGTAGATTGATATTTTCCATCATCCAATGAGTACATCTCCTATGTTTAAAAATGTTGTAATGAGATAGATGTGTCCCTATGTTTAAAAAGGTTGTAATGAGATAGATGTGTCTTACAAATTAAAGCACAAAGCATATGAGACAAAAATATTACTAATGTGTTAACACAGATGCTTTTATGCGTAGCTAAGTCTACTCTTGGATAACAGCACACTATAATATAGTCATTGCACCTCATAACTATGATCTGCATTAACACCTCCTACAGAACACGCGAGAGAACTATGATGTATTGTTGCCTTAATTAATTACATAATGACAACTCCAAAACTTTTTAGTCCTCAAATTGTGTGCTTCAAGCATTTACTTGACTCTAAGCCAAAGATAAAGATTGAAATATTAGCTTACTTCAGTTCAGAATAGAGTTAGATCATCCAGCTTACTTCTAGAACTTTTCGTTCAACTGTCCGTCCTTCCGCACTAGCATGGCCACCCAAATATGCAAGATAGCTCATAATCAATTGGTGGTTTCGGTCTTACCTGCTCCACTTTCACCGCTGACCAATATAGAATTGGATTTGCATTCGTTAATCATCGCCCTGGTTGAAAGTTAAACAACATAGAATGAACCAGCTCCATGATCTTCAAACAATACACAGATAAAATATAGAACCGCTTAGTTACCTATATGCAACATCAGTAATAGCAAAAACATGAGGTCTCAGGTCCCCTAGTTCAGCCCCTTTATAACTGTCCATCAATTTATGATCATACAAATGTGAGAGAGCTTGGAATGGATTGATAGCAATGAGAATGTTCCCGCAGTAAGTCTGCAAGGAGGTATAAAGTATCACCAATACAATTCGTAACAGCAGTACTTAATGCTTCAAAACTGAAAAGTGAGACCGGTCATACATAAATCTCTTGGATTCCGTATCTGATGGCCAAATTGTAAAGCACAGCAGGCTCGTGCAAGTATGATAGCTTAGTCATGTCATCAACACCCCCAGCGGGAGCTTCCATATCCCTGGGATGCAATTTAGATAACTTTGTAGTAACCTGCCCAACATTATGGTGAAGAAAATGAACGATCGGGTTATTAAAGATCAGTTGCAATTGACGATAATTAAGGCTGAACCAGAATGTAATAATAAATAAATATATATGGCTTGCCTTCTTCTCATTTCTAATGTCAACCTCAACTCCATTTCCATTAACACTAGTTACAACCCCGTCAGTCCAAGCCAATTCTGGGACTTCGACCCATACAGGGGAACCTACACCAATTTCCTGTGGCATCCGTAGCACCAGTTAAAGTTTTTCTTTTTAAAAAATATAAAGTAAAAATTACACATTATTTCAGCCTACCATTCCGTTTGGTGAATGTAAAATTCCTCAGAAAATATTAAAATCAAATGAAACCCATGATTTTGGAGAAGGATTCTGACCAAAATGCCGATGTTTTTTCCCCAGTGAAGGAAGAGAAGGTTGTTGTTTGGATGGGGATTGGTATGAGAAAAACGCAATAATCGGAGCACCAATGGATTTCGCCATTTTCTAGGAGCCTCGTGTGGTTCTTTTTCATTTCATTTTAATTTTTTTCCTTTATTTGCATTTTACTTTCTTCTTTTTTTAAATAGACCTAATTTAATCTTATTTCTACAACTAAAATTTCATAGACATGGTTTAGAGAAATAACATGAATAGATAAAATTCAACAATGATATTATATTTTAATTTTGTTGTATAACTCTAAACAAAAGACAGACTTCGACTTGACGGTCTAGCGTTAAATATTTTATTTTTTAAAATTTAATAAAAAAGATTAAATTTTTAGAGACCTGATAATATTTGGGATAATTATCTATTTAATCTTATGTTTCATTTATATTTTGATCATCCTCTAAATTTGACGAAACTGATATATACGATATAATATAATAATAATTTTAATTTAATAATTTATGAATACTTTATTTCATATGAAATTGTTATCGCTTCGGGATGGTTCTGGCGAATGATCAACTTACACAGTCTCATTCAATGAAGACTCTTTAACATCTCATATCGAGCGTCTAAAGGAAACACTGAGAACGCTTTTTTTCTCTAAGAAAAATAAAAACGTCGACAGCAGTATTCGAATCCGTGCAGGCAAATCCCAACAGATTTCGAGTCTGTCTCCTTAACCACTTGGACATATGGACGACCGCGTCCAAACTGATTTGTAAACAATCATTTGGCTTCTGTTCACCCAAAGAATATTACAATTACTTTGAGATTAGTCAAGTGTAGGATAACGTGCAGAAACCGTTTTATTGCAAGGTTTGTGATACTATCTAGCAGTCTGGTGTTGTATTGGAGTGTCTATGGCGTCAGTCTACTCATTTAAACATTAATAAAATAATCTATTCTTGAGAAGAAGAAAATAACCATGACAATGCAATCCTGGGAAAGGAAAACTAATCTTTATTCATTTTTCTCTGTTAATTCAGACAAATTATATTTATATATTGCAAATGTAGCAGACCTTGGGGTACGTATATCTAGAAAGTTCAAACCAAGCTTAAAAAACCTAGTTAAAATAACAGAGCTGAGGTTAACACGTCCGATGGTACATCACAGCAAAGAGAAGCAAACCCTAAAGAGCCACAGCAGCTCTAAAACCAACTAAACGGCAATCCGTTCAAAGAAGAGCACAAGCCCAAAGCACTAAAAATGAATGAAATATCAAGAAAAGACAATTAAAAGATCAACGAGTCGATTAACACCTGCTGTAGCTTATTTGTCAGCAACAACCATAAATGTTGATTTAAGTTGGTAGTGTGGAGTACTTGCCAGCGGAGATAGACCAAGGACTGGCTTGGATAATCGCCTCCGTGAAAATTTTAAATTATTAAATAGTTTAGATATTTTCTTTATAATCTTAATTGATAATGTGTTTTTGTTTCTTAAAATTTTATAATTTCGCCCTTAACATAGAATACATAGTTCGTCCGTGCTCGTCAAATATTGGGTGGGGGTGTGTCCTTTCCTAATGTGCAGTCTGAGGTAGGTTAAAACTACAACTTAATTCAAGAATTACGATGCACTTTCCATGGAAAATCTTTCTTGCCGAAAGTGTTAAGGTAAAGAGTGGAAGTGGAGAAGAAAACAACAGCATATACAGAAATTTGGGATTTGTCCATGTGATTATTATACCCCAAAATCAAATCTCTTTCTAAAGGCTTCCCATGTTTCTGCTGTCAGCCTCTCTGAATATACTCGAATTTTTAACTGCTAATAAGATTTTAACAAGAATATATATGGATACTTTTTAAAAATAAACAATAGATTTTGCTTCAACTCAAAGGTGGGCATAAGCACTCAAGTCTTTATCGACGACATGTGTTAAAGTACACCGAGCATCATCTGTGATTAAGTGAAAGATTAATAGCCGCCATGATCCTAATATGAGAAGAAATCAAAAGCGAAAAAGCAAGTGACTTGCCAACAGAGATTGTGGACTCGTGACTTGCCCTGATGGAATCTTTTAATTTTAGGCATATAGATTTCCCACCAAGAAATGGAAAGGAGCTGGTGATCATGATCACCCTCTTTTGATGTAAAGGGAAAACTATGATCAACTAACCCTAATGTGCAGATATTAATAATTTAAGAAAAAAGAAAAAGGGATTGCAAATACTTTGAGAGTAGAGTGGATTTGTAAGGGTAGGCCGCCATTGATGTTGATGATAAGGGAATCTATGCATGTTTTTGGGATTGGATTGAGGGAAAACGACAAAAGAGAATATGGAGTTTCGAGAGATAATAATAATAATGACAAAACTGGAACCAACAAAATCAAAAGCTTTATGTATAATTTAATTAAGGGATAAATCATGCATCCACCTTTCCTTTTTAATGAAATGGTGGAAAAGGCTCAGAACTTTCCCATATATATAGGATAAGTTTTAGCTAGCTAGCACGCAAAAAAAAAAAGTATCGTACAAATACAAGATAATATATGTTTAAAGATAACTTTTAACATTTTAGCATTGAATATTCACATTTATAATATCTATGGTGCTCAAATACGAATTTTTAAAAAATAACAACAATTCATTTACTACAAAATAAAATATTATATATATAAACGTATGCTTATTTAAAAATATTTAAAAAGACGTTCTCCGTACGAATATTCTCGAAAATATATTTTCAATAAGAAAGAAGATGTTTCTACAAATTCTCATCACAAAAGGATGTTGCCTCAATTTATTTTAAAAGTAGTATCAAATATATCAAAATAATTTTATGTTGAAAATTATTTGAATATTAAAAATGATATCTTTTTGTACGAGTAACCTTCGAAAACATATAACCGATAAGTTAGAAGGCCTTTCTATAGATTTCTCTCATAAAAGAATATTATCTTGGTTCGTAAATTATATAAATATTTATTTATGATATGTATATTAAAGATATATGTATTTTTTTTCTTTCACTAAGATTCTTTAACCATAAAGTTTTTATCTTACTAAATTTTAATGAGACGCATTATCTTCATGAATATTTAAGTGAGAGTGTTATGAATATTTATTTATGTGGATGTCTATTATAATTAGACCACTATATATTAAATAAGATTTTGATGTACCTTATTATTATGACCTTAATGTTATTTTTCTTATTATTTAATTCTTTTTATTTCCTAATAATATGAATATTATTTTTATAAAAATTGAAAGATACATAAATTGAAAATAAAAATGTAAAAAATGTTAAGGAAATATGTAATATTGGATACAAGTATATTATAGCTTTTGTTGATTAAAAGAGTAAAAAATTATAATTAACAACTTATTGAGTGTCTCAGTGATAAAATAAAATGTTGTTCTCTCTAAAAATCTTGAGTCGGAGTAGTTGTATATATAGTGTGTGTTCTTCATTATTAATTTTTTAAAATAAATATTACCTTATAATCGCCTTAAATGATATTAAAAATATTATAATGATTAGAATACGCTAATTGTAAATAAAATATGTAAATAAGAAAACAATTATATATATATATATATACCCACCATCTAAAGTGTGCCCATTTGCTGTTAAAAACTTTATATTTAGATTTTGACGTCTCTATCATATATATAGTGTTTTCTGGTTTCTTCTTTCTATTATTATTTAACTAAGATTTGTCGGAGGTCAAGAGAACCTTTTTGGACAGTAATGGACCAAAACAGCTTATAATTTTGAACTAGAAATATAGATAATGTATGCCCATGCACTAATATATATGACAACTAATTGGTAAATGTTTTAAATTTTATTAATAATGTTGGGATCTCTTAACAGATTGTATCGAAAATCTCAAGTTTTTTTTATATAAATTTCAGATCAAGCATAAACAGATTTATAAAATTTTAGGATGAAAATAAATTATTAATAAAATATGTTAAAATTAAATAAAAACTTAAATTTTTTAAAAGAATAATTGTTCTGATAATTTTCTTGATCGTTCCCTCACTAGACCCCGAAACAAGTAATATAAGATTTAATCTCTTAGAATAATTTATCATAAGATCACCAATTAAAAATAAAATAGAATTCAATGGCAAAGCAAAGCTTGGATTTAATTTATGACAACCTAAGCTCCTAAAATCAATCCATCATAAATAAAGCGCTAGAAATTGGAATTTTTAAAGCAATCCAACATTTAATTAATATGAGATAATAGGATTTTGTTAAGCCTAAATGCGTGTGTAAATGACGATCAATAGGCAAAGAGTTTAACTCAAAAGATTGCACTAATGAGTAATGAGGTCCATTAAAGTTAATGGAAACTGGTGGGTTGCACCGTAAGTTTTAACATTTTTCGAAGTTGTTTTTGTATTCTTTATGGTGGAAACTGGAGCATAACAAATCTCTATTTTGAAATTGTGAAAGAAGTTACTTTCAATTAGGATGAAGATTTGTTGGGTATTTTGATTGAATATAAGAAATGTGGGAAGGGGAAGAATCTCACATTGATTGGGGGGGGGGGAGAACAAAGAAGGGTGGGACTTAAGGTCTTGGTTTTTAGATATACCAAGTTAAGTATTGGG